GACGAGCGTGTGGATTCGCGTGCCATAGGATACATATATACCTAAAACGCGTGACAAGCTGACACTGATTTTATACTCGTCGTGATTTCATCAGAAGAACTTGCTCCAAATCCCGTATTATGACAGAGTTCAAATAGAAGAATGGAACATTGAAAATTGGGGGGGGGAGGGGAATGGAAAATTGCTTAAAGGTGTACGTAAAATTTCGAATAAAAAATCCCATAAAAAAAAACCAATAATATCAAAGTTGCTTTCATGGATGTAAAAGAAAAGAAATCTAATCTTCTTATGTTGTACTTCTACGTATACATTTTCTTGAATTGCGATTTAATCAACTGGCTAACTGAATAATTATAAATCCTTGAATATGCAATGGATGTTGAATTAAGTATGTAATTATATTGTTCTGTTGCAATTGAAAAGCTGTCAAAGAAAAAAGATTGAGGAAAAATTGAATATTGTTAATTATTGCCATTCCACCTTTATTCATTCAATAAAAAAATTGTACTTTTCCTATTTCTTTGAATTTATTTCTTATTCATCTCTATATTGTTTTAATAATAATTCTGAAATATATCATTATTATTATTATTATAAAAGAAGATTTTTATTCACATACATACACATTAAACAGTATAATTTAAAAAAGATTTGAAAAAAAGAATCGAACTACCATTAAAACACCATTCAGCTTATCATATCAACTATCGTTATATACTATTTAATGTTATATTAATAAAGTTGAGTTTCGTTTGATAAGATCTAGGATTTTCATTACAATAAGAAATAATAATAATAATAAGTATTAATAGGATAACTTTCTTTTAATAATATATACAATTAGAATCGCAAATTTTCCTTACCAATTCCTTTTTTTTTTTTACGATAACCGCAACTGTTTCGAATCTCGAAACAGAACATAGAGAATCAATAGCGTATCTTTTCCATTCCTTTTCTTCATTCTAAAAATTCTAAAAAGAAAAAAAGAAACTTTCTACATTTCTCCTCCTTCCTCTGTATGCTCCTTCTCTTTCACCATACAATATAACCTCACATTTGCGTAAATATATAATATGAAAATCGAACGAATCCAATACAATCGAAATTTTATCCCCGAAATCGTATTATACCTTCTTATCTGTACAAAAATTTCAAAAGATCAACTTTACTCAACTTTTCTCATCTCCATCAACTTCAACTCCCCTGTCCGACAAGTTGCATGCTTGCTTCTAGAAAGAAATGTTTCCCGCATTTACGTAAGCCGTATACGATCGGAGGGGAAGGTGGCCATCGGCGCCGCTTGTATCTAGCGGCTTGCTTTCGGGTGGACAGTCTTAATTCAGCTTCTGCACGAGCAGCTTCGTGAATTAGTTCCCTCCCTGGTGCATCAAGTAGTCTCTTTACATTTCTCTTCCTATTTCTTCTTATATACAACTCTTTGTACATCCCTTCGACGAGATTTATCGTAGCGCCCAATAATCGCGGCGCCCGAAGCTGCACCCAATCTTTTATTCTCTCTTTATCTAAAAGTCTCTGAAAGTTGAAAACGGGAAGGGAAAGCGTGAATCCACTCCAAGAGTATTAAGATAATTTATTTACCACTTAATAATACGCGAGAGAACAAGCGAGTTTTATTTATTTATTATTCCTCCGAAACTTGTATTACATATAGTTAGTAACCGACTCGGTTTTATTTACCTGCCGAAACACGGGAAGCCCATCGACGTGTATACACGATTCTGCG